AAAAAAGAAAGCCTTGTTGGACTGGGGGAAGAGAATGAATGAAAGGAGGAAAGGGCACCCATGGTTTTGGATCTCTTTTTTTTCTCCCCCTTCAAGGTTCCCGGCTGTGAGGAAGAAGTTCATCTCTGAGCTAAAGGAACTCCGTCAGAAGGAGCAGAGCCCCTACGTCCTGCAGTCCACCATCAGCCTCATCATGGGCCTCAAGTTCTTCCGTATCAAAATGTATCCGGTGGAGGACTTTGAGGCCTCTTTCCAGTTCATGCAGGTAACAATCAAAAACCCGTCCTACGTGGAACTTGATGTGGGCAAAATAATTTCTTCTGCTCTGCTGCTGTGTGCTTAGGAGTGTGCGCAGTATTTCCTGGAAGTCAAGGACAAGGACGTTAAGCACTCACTTGCCGGACTCTTTGTGGAGATTCTCGTACCCGTTGCTGCTGTAAGTGACCACATTAGTATGAATTATTATTGGTTCTTTTTTTATCTATCTATGCCAGCAACTTATAGTGACAGGCAGATAAATGCTCTCCTCCGAGATGGTTGCAAAGTCCAATTAACCCAGAGGTGGTCAATTTTTTTCAATATTTTAATTAAGTTTTGCTTAAGGGCCACAGTTGATTTTCAACCATCAGATGGGCCACATCATTCGTCAAGTTAATGTCTTTTTTTAATGAGGAAATAATAATTCATGTTCAGTCACGGTGAGACTTTCTCATGTTAAATGCGTGCCTTGACTCAATGAAGGTTAGCAAACACTGACTTCATCGGTTAGTTTGTCTAACTCTTTAGTCTCTCTCTCTCTCTGAATCGTCTGTTTCTCCCGCAGACGGTGAAAAACGAGGTGAACGTGCCGTGCCTGCGGAACTTTGTGGAAAGCTTGTACGACACCACGTTGGACCTGTCCTCCAGGAAGAAGCACTCCCTGGTGAGACGCCTTCCCCTCCCCCTGCTCATTAGCCGCAATTTGTGCGGCCACTTACTGCAACATGCAGACGCTTATCTCTCGGTGGGGAGGAAGCCGGAGGAGGAGGGCCGTCAAATTAGTCTGCAGTATGATAGACTTTTAAACAGATGTTTACACACACATTGACATGCAAGCTTTACACTCATTGACATCCAGTACAAGTGTGTTTGAATAGCAAAACAAATATTACTCAAAATCATTTTTTATTTAAAACACGAACCCGTGCCTGGAACCCTAATTTGAAACACTAACCCCACTTTGAC